CCTAGGAAAGATCGCGATGTTTCAAGCGATCTCCTTGGTAAAGTCAGCTGAAGTTAGTCATTCGGCATCTCTGGTATGAGACTTGACCTACTCATTTTGAGACGGGGCCACGTGAGAATGGCAAGAAATTCCAATTCCACTTCTTGGCAGTTTAAAAATATGATATTCTAGAACCATATCTAAGGGAAGTGCATGAATCCTGCTAAACATTAGCAGGATTGGCCTTTTTTTTTTTTCCTGCTCACATGGGTGCAGACTCGAACAGGACCGTTCCTCGTTCCCCCCCGCCCCCCCCCCCCCCTCCCTTTTCGCATCGGAGGTCGTTAGTCTCAGGTCGCCGTCCCGTCGTGATCGTATTTGCTCGTGCCGAAAAGGCGGATGAATTGCACGGCTGTTTCGAGACGGTAAAGCTAGCAAAACGGATTCCGATGCCGGAAAAGTGAGGAAATCCACCCGAAAGGGTCCAGCTTCACCCACGGCCCGAAGCCGCCCTGCACCGAAAAAGTTGTTCGCTTCCGAGTCTGCCGATATCGGCCGGAGCCCCCCCCCCCCCCCCCCCCATCCCGATCGGAGGTAAGGCAAGCACTAACCTGTCTGAAGGCCTCCCGCTCGTCCACGGAAGGAACCCCGATGGCGTGCTGCGAAGGACAGAGATTCGGGACTCTCCGGCTCCCGGCCACCTCCGTCGACAGCAGAGCGACGAAAACCGTCACGAGTCTCGAGGGCGCAAGCGAGAAAGGAGGCAGACGAATCCCGTTTTTCATCTTTCTCGTCGCAAATTAATTTTTGTCTTCGCGAACGACGCTCTTCTAATGTCTGAAATTCATGATACCGTTTTCTGGGCTCAACAGTAAGTCATAAATGAATTTTTTTGCCGATCGATCGATCGACTTTCGATCGATGGGTCGATGACGAACACGATCGACTCGAGCGACCGACGATCGGTCGAACGACCCCGTTTTTGGAGGGGGAGGGGGCGGTCAGCAGCGTAAAAGGTTGCCTGTCGTGATCGGCCGCGGAAAAGCTGGAGGGTGAATTTCCGTGGGATCGATCGACAGATTCACCGTAGAGGGAACGAATCCATGGATTAATCACAGAGCACACGAGTTCGTACGTTCGCGCCAGAGATCACCGATGCAGGTGCGCGATCGGGAACGGAACGGTTCACGTTTCACTTTTGCAGCCTCGCCCGAGCCAGAAGAGTGGATTAAGGACGGTCCATCTCTTCCCGCGACGGATCGTACCGAGGAGAGTCGCACGGGAGCGACCCTCCCACTCCCGAGGAAGCCGGGGCAACGACCTACGAGGCAGTCCGGACAGGTCCGTCGTCCTCCCCTCCCCCCCCCGTCCCCCCACCAACCCCCTCCCCCTCCCCCTCCCGTTCCTCCACAAACCCCCTCCCCCTCCCCCTTGTCCCTCCACCAACCCTCTCCACCCGACGTCCTTCCTCGATCCTCCCGCCCTACCGTCTCCGCGATCGTTCCGCTGCCCATTCCGGCACCGGAATATCGAGCACGACGAAGGGCCGACCGCAGCAACCGTCGGATACCTGCACGCGTCCCGAAAACAAGCCAACGATGAGCCGACTCCCCGCGAAGCATCGAACGAACGTCTACGTAAACAACTAAGAGTTGGGAGTGATGCATTTCGGGGAGACAAAAAGGATCCACCTCTTGGCACGATTTCCACGTTCGTAAGAAACCTCATCTCTCTCATCTCTCTCATACCACTCGGAATGATCGCTCACTCGTTCGAAACCTCGACGCGTGCGAGACACCTGCGCTCGACGAACGAAGACGACCCCTTTCCCTTCGGCCTTTCCCCCGAATCGATGATCCCTTCCAGGATTTAGATCCGAAGAGGGCCGCTGCCGATTCCAGCCACGATTAACGCTCGTGGCGAAGGCTTTCGAGCACCTCACTGCTTTTTCTCCGAAACTCTCCTCTCTCGAGAAGTGAAACCGTGAAAACGCTCTTCCTGGTCCGATCGCGATTAGGGAGCGAATTTTCACGGAAACGTATATTTTTTGTGCAGCCTCGTCGAAGCATGCAGCCCATATGAGAGAGTGCCCCAGTCGAGGAAGCGATGCACGATCCGTGTCGTTAAAAACTCGCGAAAGGCAACATATTGCTATTCTCAGAATGTGCAAAAATACACATATTCTAAATATGCATAAATACGCACATTTCGCCAATTTTGCGGGGGGGGGGGAAAAGTAAAGTTACCCAGGCGAATGCGTTCTCTTAACGAGCGCGAACGACTATCCCTCTTCACAGATGAGATCAACCTCTGAAAACGACCGACGTACTTTTCGGGATCCATGGCGCGAAACTCCGTCGTCGATGGCACCAAAGTAAATCGGTGCCATCTATCTACTGGTGCCTGAAGAATGTTTTTTCCCTTCCGAAAGCTCACGAACCAGCATGAAATTGATTCTAGGAAGGCTTTCTCCTTTCCTCGACCTCCCCTCCCCCCATCCTCTCCATCGGGCCTACTGTAGGTCCACCTTTTCTTCCTACGAGAAGAACCCTCGACTCACCTAATTAGGCCTAAAAGAGCGAATCTCGGTCTTTTCTCTCGTCTCGACGAGCGACGCGATCTCAGACGAGCACAGCCAGGCCCATTTCCGGTTTCTCTCGCCGCCTCGAAGTTTCTCTCACCGCGGAGCGAACGCCAAGGACCTCGCCCTTGCCAAGGACCTCGCCCTTGCCAAGGACCTCGCCCTTGCCAAGGACCTCGCCCTTGCCAAGGACCTCGCCCTTGCCAAGGACCTCGCCCTTGCCAAGGAAGAAGAGGACCGGACACTCCTCCGGGAATCGCGCATCGGCAGACATCCACCCCGTGCAGGCAGCGAACCTGGCGGTCGATGAGGAAAACTGCATTCGTCTGCCGCCGTCTTCCATGGCGAAGCACGGCGGACGCCGGTGTTCTGCTATCAATTGTTACCATTCCGACGGGAACTCGGGAGGGAAACACTTCTTCAGATTTCCAGGACCCCAACATAGGTCAACATTGAAGATTAAGTTAAATAATTTAATCAGTTTATTTAATTTAATGAAATTACGTTAATTAGATTAAGATGTGAGCCCATGTTTGCGCCTCGAGGATGAGCTCCTTCACCCCGAAAGACGTCCAAGGGCACTTTAAATCCATCGACACCTAATGAATATTCATCGACACGAAAACCGATTACGTTCTGAAACGGAAAACGAACATTTCCTCCACGCAACACTGACAAAATCGACCGAGCTGTGATGAGTCGAACGACTTCATTTTTGCTTCTTGCGACTAATTTTCATCGACGTTCGCACGGAAAACCGTACGCCCGACGCGCAAAGCGCCTCGCACCCGACGCCCAGGGCTGTCCGAGGCATGCCGCTTCTCGGCCCCTTCCTCTTCCCCCTGTCCGATGATATCGAAGAATGAGTACTTTCATCGGCAACAACATTACTTCTCTCTGGTGGCACGGTGTTCATCTTCCCGATGAGGCGCACACGGAAAAACCGAGAGATGGTGACGGTCGGAGACCGATGGAATGCGTGTACTACGATGGGGCAATCTTGCGTTTTTCCTCAGCAGCCGCTCGGCAGGGGCCGAAGGGGCACGTCCCTGCCCAGAGTCGAGGCGAAATTTTACGTGCGAGAGGTTTTTTTTTTCCTCGTGTGAACGCGTCTTGGGTCGAATTTGGGCCGGGCATGATTTTAGTCGATCCACGAACAGGCCCAAAGCCGACGAATAAATCGGCCGTGAAATAGGTAGACCTAAGTAACGCCATGTCTAAGGATTACGATGAGGAAACGAGTTAGGCTCGGTTTGCAACACCTAGTCTCAACGTTATCGTCAGGAAACCTTTTGGAAAAAAAAAAAGACTAACCCTGTTACTGACGGGAGCCGTTCATCCGAGACGTCGGCCAGTAACGCCATTCGAAAATAAGCCCGATGCAATGAGTCCTTCAGTGCCGTTTGGTTCTACGTAGGCCAGTCTCATCTCACAGGTCGTCGATGACACGAGTCGGCCCACGTTACCCTCATTCCGTCCCGTGAGGAGTATCAAAGGGGAGTTTCCAGCCTCAAGGATCGTTCCTGCCCCCTTACGAGTAAGAGTCGCGTCCGAGGGAAACGGATTCGATCGGATGCGATCTCTGTGGCGATCCTCCCATCGAGCATGCAGTTCTCGGTGAGTCAGGCATCGCATCTTATGATTTACTTCATACGTTCTGGACCTTTTTCGTCTTTCAGTATCGGTAGGCTCATCAGAATTTATTAATTTTTCCCTGGTAAGCATCATTCTGATTGATTTAATATGAAATATAAATATTTGTATAATTTTTTCCCCCTCAGCCCATGCTGTACAATCTAGGCAAATCAAGAAATGTGATCGAACTTCTGTTCAAATCATTGTATGCCCTTAGGGAAAACTCCATCGAACTTGTAACTAGAATGAAGACCTCTTATTAAGTTGGGATTTACTGTTTTTTTTCCTCTTCCAGGTAGAAACAATAAATTCCTAGCGATCAGCACCCAGCAGGCCTTGGCTTGGAAGGGGCATCTCAAGCAAATGGAGGGCTTCACTTTTTTTTGGGAGAGGCAAGTATTTCCATCATGCCAATAATAGAAAGAATGAGACATGCCTGCTTACACTGCAACTTCTCAGCAGACAAGATCGTGATGACATTTCTGACATTCAGTAGTTTTGCTGTTAGAGCGCTAACGGACAGCGACGCACATACGACGGAATGCATTTTTTCGCAAGCACTATAAATTTAACTTATTCATTTAATCTCTGTTGGTATGCTTTCAGCCTTCCTCACTTCGGTTCGAAAAAATATTTGGCACCAGATGAACGAAACTTTTATTCCCAATGAAATACATTCATATTTTATTGGAATATTGATCAAATTTATGCAAAACATTAAGAATTTTATGCCTACGGAAGCAAAAAATTGCGCATGTTATAAATGTCAAATAAACGCAAATATTTAACCGATGGAAATCATATATCACAGCTGATTAGGTATAGTGACACGGACTTTGTAGCTGAGCCTATCACTGTCGAGCTGCGACTGAAACTGAAGGCAGTAGAGACCGGGCTCCTGGAGGAGGTTCTCCCCAGAGACAGTTTCCTGGTGGCTGTCGACCCTCTCCCAATCCCTCACTTGCTTGCTGGAGACGGATCCCTGCTGGTCGTCCGCCTGTTCCCCGTCTTCGAGCCGCAACAGCGAGTACTCCACCCCCTCTCCCTCCGTTCTGAACTCCCAGCTGTGTCGATGAAACACGAATCAGCCTTGCCCAATGGTATTCCTCGATGATCTCATTTCGCAAAAAAAAAAATTGTTACGCTGACAGCTGCTGATAGGATGTGCTTTTTCAATGACTTTCGCAGTTCTTCAATTTTCCTTGATTTTATCCTTTCCATTTTCCTTTTTTTTATGAGGTAAGATATGCCTTATATGCGCGGAGATACTGGTTTGGGTGCATGTCAGGGTATGAACAGATGTATTGCGTTAAGCGGAGATTTAGTAGCTTTTTCCGTGAATGGCTTAATAATGGGTAGATGCCATAGGTACCGAGATTTTGTATCATGAGTAACTGGCAAGAGTTTTGGAGGACATTGACAGGAGTCCTTTCTTTAAGGTGCAAGGAGAAAACTTGCTTCTTGCATGGCGTGCAAGACGAGAAGTAGGCTTCCAACAATCGGTTAGGGACGGATTTTAATTGTTCCACGCTGAAAAACCGAACCAGACAGATTCTGAGACGAATTTAGGACAAACGATGGCACAAATCATGACACGAGTGGGTGCTTTGCAAAGGTAATAGATTAATCTGTCTGAGGATATAACAATTTTCGTAGATGATGCTATTGGTGCAGAGAATTTCGATCATGAAAAAGTGTTGCAAAACTTTCTAAGGGCAGTATATGTATTTCTCGAAACAGACGGATTGGAGAGGACGGTCTCATTGAGGCTGGGTTCCTCGCTCTCCTGACTCGACCACCTTGGGTTTTTTGCAAAGGAGTATAGTGAGCTTCCAGTCTGTGAGGTAGCAACAAGATTTCGGCGCGACCACCATTGCAGCTGACAGTGGCGTGGTCGGTGCTTCCACTCCTGGCACACTATCCGAATCTAAACTTCATGGATTGCCTTAATGACACGTGGAGAAGTTCGTCTTAACCTCCAGAATGTTACTTCCATGTTTTGTTAAAAAGAGGATGTAACGGAAGCCCACAACCAAAAATCCAAGAGGATGACGTCAGGAGAGGAAGGGACCTAAGGTTCATCGAGCCAGCCTGCCAGTCCACGCTGTTTGGAAAAGTATACACCGCCACTAGGACCACATGTCTTCGCATTTAAAATGACAATGGCGCGTGAGGAACTTGCGTGTGTGAACACCAATATGCACTCCACCGCATAGCTCTATCGTTGTTCTTTCTGAAGTCAGAAAAATTCCTTACACATAAAAGGTTTCATAGACACCTTGAATTCATCTTTGATGGTGTGGAAAATCTTAAACGAGCGCTGGACCTCGGCTCGGGAAATTAACATAGGTAGAGACGCTCTTCCTCTCGATGTCCCAACCCGAACCTTAACCCTTGGACCAAATCGAAAAGGCCAGCATGGACACTGGAGACATTGCAGCCGTTTCCACTTTTGTTATCGGGTCCGCCGCACTTGCCGTCTAACACTGATTAATGATAATTGTTTACCACAACGTGTCGAAGGGAAATTTTGAGAGTGAACGGTATTGAATTGCTCAGCCCGTAACTCTTGACTCGCTTCAGCCGGAAGCATAGAGCTTCCTAATGCTTCCTATCTCACTTCCTCGACCAATCTCACGGTTTCAAAATTGAGTCTTCGCTTCCACCTCAGAATGTTCGACCCCGACGACGCCGAGTGTCTCCTACCTGAGAAGCGATCCCGGATGAGAGACTCGACACTCCAGGCTCAGGGCTTCCCCGCCTTTCAGCGTTCCCACGAGCATCTCTCCGCTGCTGTCCTCCTCCTCCTCTTCGTTTGTCTTATTTTCTTTGTTCTTGGTTCTATAGAAAGACTTTGGCACTTTCCCACCTTTCCCGATCTGCGAATTGCATGGCCAGAAAACATGACGATTTTCTAGGTGATTGTTAACAAAATTTAAAGTCACCCTCATGCACTATTGAGACAAATGATATTAAAACATCTACTTTACACAAATGAAACTCCTCTAATGTGTTGTGTCTATTTTGGCTAAATTTTTTCATATTATTTAAATTAAACATAATTTTCAAAGATCATCCTTATTTTGAAGCCACATTGCACAGCTTTATAATGATTTGAGCGAAGGTGGGGTACGTACCAAGGAGGAGCACTTGGGATCCCCGTCCTCGTCGACCCTGGTCCCGCCCCAGAACTTGGGCAGAACCACTCTGGGGATGGCTTGGGTCAACACGGGCTCGTATTGCTCCTTCGACCCCAGGCAGACAATCTTGTCCAGCGTCGCCTGCCGCAGGAACGGCTTCACCATGTTCAGCGCCATTGTGAAAAACCTCGGCACTGAACAGAACACAACCACCTCGTTCGGAGCAGATCATTCTTAGAAAAAAAAAGAAGAGGTGAGACTCTGTTTTACTGTTGAGGAGGTAGATGCGCTTGAGGTGGTCGGGGTAGTTGGCCTCCTGCATCTGCACCAGGGCAAGGCCCACCTCCACCACTGCCAAACAATTTCGCATTTATCACCGTCATGCTCATCAGTTCTAAGATTTTCAACTAAATAAGGAGTGTTTCATAAGCTTGTATATTAATTAATACATGAATAGATGAATGTCCATGAATCAAATGCATTATTATTTGTTCCGATCAATCAATCTGCTCGTTTAACTAAAATTTTCATGAGAATTTTCATTTCTTGTGAAACGTCCCGCAATAAAAGGGCGCATCCCCCGTATACTCGTACAGTGGTGTCAATAATTATTTTCAAATTGTTCTTGCAGTGGTTCAAAGCTGTACGCGTCAAGAGGCGCCAATCGGAAACAACCGCAGATGGAGATCTCCCTCTAATGTGGGACATAGGTTTCCCCCGGCTTCTCATATGATTTTCATATTTCATATAAATTAGAAGAGCAAATTATGTCGCTTCATAATCCTCATCTAATACAAGGAACACGTTCTTTTTTTTTAACGAAAGCTTAGTTATCAGAAACAAATAACTAGATACATACCTAGGTATATACTTTGCAGGTGGGCTTTAAATATTCTTCCCCTTTTTGTATATTTCCTTGTGGGGACGAGAAACATTTCAAGAGAAGTTCCTGTTCCGAATGGATGGCTACGTGAGTGAACATAGACACAGTCATTAACCAGTAAAAGTTTCTCCGTTGTCATCATGTACTATATCCGTATCTGTCGTAACTAATAAAAAACGACCACAATCCTCACTGAAAATCGACACGATGGTTTCACAACGGGTAAACTGAAACGACTAATGTAACTCCAATCGCATCCTGAAACTAGCGCTTTATCCTCCTGCCCCATCCTAATATGGTAAACCATATTAGATCCATGTTAAACTCGTTGAAAGCAACACCGACCGGACTTGGAAAAGACGTTGGAGAAGGACCAGCCGTTGAGTTCGAAGACGATGACGAACTGGGACGAGGGCCCGTTTCCCGGGTCGAGGCGCATCTTCTGCCGACATTCCTCGACATTCCGGATGACCCATTGGATGTAATCCTCCTTGGAGGCGGAGGAGAGGATCCCCTTCAGGTCCATCCCGCCTTGGTCGACCACCATCACTAGACCCAAGCACACGCGATGACGAGAATCGGAAAGGCTACTCGCTAGACGTCGTAAACTCATCAGCCGAACATTAGCAACGCAGAGGGAAATCATCTCCCATACGAGGAACTCGAGAGGGAAAGCAGAACTTCAATTATTAAAAAAGCGGTATCCACACGATAAGAATTTTCTCACAGGGATTCATTAGCCGCAAGCAAGCAGGATGACGTTCCTGCCATCTGCGATTCTTCGGTCGTCGATCGTCTCGATGAGATCGATAACACCGTGCCCGAGAGGCTAATGGGGTTCAACAGGCGAAGCAATTCGTGTTCCTCGAGCGACCATTCTCGAACTGCAGACCGCATTCGCCACCTTGGATTACTGATACATTACACGGGGCGAGGGAACTGAAGAGTCCGCCCGCCCTCGCCTCTGCTTTAGCCCATTCGACAATCTCGTCTCTCGGGAATTTATTCTCCAGAAAGATAATGGAGGCCGAGACGAAGGCGTCCGTCCCGATTATTCTCATCTAGAAGCGGCAAAAAGGAATCTCATCCCACGTTTCTAAAGTCATTGTAGCTCCACGGAAATGTTAATGCATTTTTTTTATTCTGCCGGCTTCTACCAACATTATGAACCGTCACGGAGACACAGTCGAGCAGAACATTTCGATATTTCAGTATTCTCATCAAGCGATATCACGTTACATTCCGTTTGCCGTCATTCTTTCCAGGCCGAACCAGGGACATACGATACACAGAAACGACAAATTGGAGTGCTCATCGAATGACGCAGCACGATAGCAAAGATCCATACCAGGCGATCCTTCGAGGTCGTACCCAATGAATCCGAATACCCCGTATCTCTCGAGCACTTGGGGGACCTTCCACTCATCCCGCAGGTACTCCGGCCTCCACTTCTCCCTCCATTCCAGGTGCTGCACATACGCGCACATCCCCGGGTGACGTCATCGAAATACACCTTCTAGGAATGAGTTCCTTTGTTTCCTGACTTTGCAAGTCACCAAGCTTTATCCAAGCAATCGATTTGCATCGTCGGCCAGCAACGTAATGAAATGTGGGATATATCGAACAGGATTTTCCTCGACGAGGGGGATAGGGGGGGGGGGGAATCAGAGAAAGTAATCGACGGGATCTAGGCCAATCAGTGGAATTAAGTCATGGCCTACGAGAGCCATGCCTTTCAGGCTTTTTAGAGGAATTTGGACTAAAGGAAGATGAAAAAAGGACTCACGGCTCGAAACATCTTCTCTGCTCGGTCCACATCGTAATCTCTCGCTAGAAAATACGGCAGAGGAATACATTTAATAATGCACACCACTCGCCCGTGTGCTAATGTCCTATCTTTAAGGAAAGCGCCCTCGCTTTTAATATTTCAATACGCTGGAAGCTCGAAATTCGAATGTTGCGCCTCGTTTCAATAATATGGGGCGGGACTCGATTAAACCTGAAACCGCTAACGTTTCAAGAGTCACCTCATCTCGTGCGTAAAACTTCTCAGTCGGCAACGAATACAGGAATGCCTTTTCTGCAGTAAGGGAAATGGCAGGGTGAGGAAAGTTGACACTCCCCGAATCACGATGGATACATCGAAACGCGTTCGCGGCTCGTCGCGGAGATCGGTCGCTCCGCTGCCGCGGTGCAAGAAGCGGGGTGGCATCGCCGGACCGGAAAGGGCCCGGTCTTCCGATCGATGCTTCGGGGGGCACGGCATTTTCTCTCTTTTCGAGGGCCATCTGCTTCCGAAGGCCTCGATGCGAACGAGGCGCAATCGTACTTGGAATTCGCACCCGAAAATAACGATGGACCGGCGAAGAATCAGGATTTCCGGCCGATTCCGTTGCACCGTGCGTATCACATTAATGTGATCGCTTTCGTTAGTCGAGCATAGGTCGATCGCGAAATCGATCAGCTTTCGAGTCCGTCTCCTAAACTCTTAGAAAAAAAGTGAACGATATCCGAGAAAGAAAGAAAACCGCTAACACCAGTTTCGCTCCCTTTCTTGGAAATTGCTCTCTTTCCCAAGAGTGTAGCTGGAGAACGAGACGTGTGATTTCCCTCGGGTTTCGGAATGGGCCAGATCGGCCAGTGAGTGGCGTCGCGAAGAGACGCAGAAAACCGAGATAACACGCCCGAGAGCTCGAGTCGATGAAAAACACAATACAAAAGGGAGAACGACGAAGCTTCCGACGGCATCGCTCGACATCGACGAAGGAATCAGAGCCAGGAACGAGCCATCAGCCGATTCCTCGTTCGACCTTCGTTTTCCCCCATCGGCCGAGCGAGGAGACGCAGACGGGCGTGAAACCCTCCAAAAAAATCCATTCCACCTTTTCCCGTTCGCATTTCCTGTCGTTTTGCTTCCAGCCGGGTCCAATTTTAGATACCCCCACTCTGGGCGCTCTCACCACGCACCGTGGGAATTTCCCCCGTCTCTTTATTACGATGTTACTAGAAATCGAGCACATTTCTTAAACTCTCGTGACCTTGACTTTGCGTCGAGGGAGGCCCGACATAGGACCCACCAGGGGGAAATCAAATATCAGGGCTCCCCCGACGGTAAGCCGGAAAACGTTAAACCTAAACTTAAAAGGACCCCGACACAGTCGATACTGGAACGATTCGAGATTCACCATCTGGTCGCTCGAATCGAACACCGCGTGGAGAGGTAAACAGACGTCCACCTGTGCGCTGATCGGTTTATGGAAACGAGAACATATGACCGAGGCCTCCGCCCCTCGCGAGAGACATCTAGAGCGGACTCCGCGAGCCACGGGGAAGAGAACCCATTCCTTAAATCCTGCAGGTCATCTCTCGACGTACGAAGAGAATGGAGGAAAGGTCGTACCTTTCAGAAACTTGAGGAGGAAGACTTCGTGACGGATCCCATCCGGAATGTTCACGTCCCGCAACCGCTCCTGGAACTGCACGATTCGATCGTGTCACTCGTCGTTCCGATCGCGTGTCGATTCCACGCGAATCGAATCGGAAACGGAGGTATATAAAACATAGGCTCGTAAGGAATATCGATAGGGGTGCATGCGAGGTCGGAATTCGTCCAGAAAAAAACGCGTAACTCGGAGCGGTCTCTTTTCGACGGTGAAAATCTGCCATATAGACACAGGGCGCGATGGGTTCGAAGGGCACTGATACGCGCAGGAGAACGAGATAGCATATTCGTTCGTTCGCGGGGACCAGATCATCAGCTGATCGTGGCAAAGATCAGCTTGGACCATTTTCTTTTATCTGCGCCAACTCGAATTTACGACGCATTTTCGGAAGGAACTATTCACGGACGACGAGGAATTCCTTTGGGAAGGACCGTCTCGAACTTCCGGTATCGCGCGTGGCACGAGTCCCGTTACGCGTTTTTCCGTCGTCGAATTCGTGAACGGCGTGCAAAACGGAACGGCTTCGTCTGTCGCTCCCCGTCGAAACCGGAGGTCCGCGGGTCACCACCCCACTCTCGGGTCGCCCGTTCGTCCCTTGGCGAAGGACCGCCACGGGACGGAACGCAGACCGGTTCTCGACTCGCGATGCACCCCGACCGCACGCTCACCGCTCCGAGAACCTCCTCGTCCCCGGACGACGCCATGGCGACCGGATCGCCTCAGACCACGGAGGAGCGACGGAGGCAGACAGGCGAGTCCCTCACTCGAGGCGTCGCGAGTGGTCGCTCCTCGTCGTGCCAGGCGCTCTCCTTCTATCTGCAACGAGTATCGTTACCTTCGATAAGCAAAAGAGCCGCAATCCGCACGACGTCGCACGTGGATCTTTTTGAAAAAATGTTTGTCGACCGGTCGACGAATCGACGGATCGAAACGATTTCGCCTCGGCGTGCCATCCCCTCGCAGACGAGGCGGATTCCGAGGTGTCCGTCCCGATGCACCGCGATCGTGGCAAACCGGAAGATAAAAGACGATCGTTCGTAGATCGATAGGCTCCCGTAGCGCCATTCTTCGACCCTTTCGACAAAATCGAATCTCCTCTTATTCTTCTCTGAGAGCATCAAAAGCAACGAAATTAGGCATGCTTCTTCCTCTCTCGACACAGAAGAGCTCCGGCAAATTTGAAGCTCCATCACTCCGGGGTTGCGGAGAAAACTTAATCTCGCTTCAGGAAAATGTGAATTTCATGCCTTTTTTTTCTTCTCCCCTTCGGCAGCCGATCCTGGGGGCTTTCGGAGGAAAGAGATTAACCATAAGAGAGATTTTGGGCCGATTGCACGCACCATGTTCATTTTAAACATCGAATATCGATAGCCATCGTTTAATCGTCTACGAAAACACCGGTTAACCGTCGTCTACTTTCGATTGCACAAACGATCCCCAAGCCACGTTTTCACGGCCGACGGTTGGACGATGGCTAAGCGCCCCTCGTGGTATTGTTTTTTTACGGCACGCTCTCGATTCTTGGCTGTCGCGTGATGCGCTTCGGACATTCGCTTTCTCAAAAAAACGGAGAAATCGAGTGAAAATGAGGAACCTTTCCTCTGACGATGAAGTACATCTCGCAAAGCTCGTAAAGGAGACTCTCGGGATGGAGAGCGACACGATGCACGAGAATAATGATGCCGGGAAACCGGTGAGATCTCCACTGACCCGACTCTGCATTTCGGTGCATCGGGGGTAATGCCTAGGATTCGTTCGGCACGCGGTGGAGTCGAAAATGCGAAAAATAGTATCATCATTTGTGCACGTCTCGCACCGGTTCGCCTTGACAAGCCGATGCGCTCGAACTGCTTTTTCTTCTCTGGGCACTAAATGACGGCGGAGTCAACCTTTATAAATTATCCTTCAAAGAATGGCTTGCTGTCCTTGGCGATTTTGTGTGTAATCACGTAGCTCACTCTCGTAATCCCATCCTAGGACGCCCATTGTTTTGTGAAACATCTTTTTTTTTTTGCATTCGAGCAACCATCTCATCAGCTTTCTTTTCCCTTTCTTCGGCGGAAAAGTTCGTATACTTGCATGCATGTTTACTCTCAAAATGGCGACTTAAATTGCATTCTTCGAACACTGCCACACTTTCGTTGCAAATTAAGCACAGATTTTCCACCCACGTCGGTAAAAAAAAAGGATAGAGGTCCAACCTTAGTTGAATATTCGGCATTCGGCGTCCACTTTCCTCTTCTTTGATGAGCTCATTTCCGAATTCACACTCGCGGTGACATAAATACCACAATTCGCATATTGTTGCACAAAAAAATTTGCGCCTGTTTGCAGTGTAAATCTTCAGCCCTGTTCTCACACGTCGCTGTCAAATGCTGCACTGAGTCCCATCCTAGTCCCATCCTCTCGGTCTCCTCCTCCACGCTAAAGCATGACTTGCGTCAGGTCACAGAGGTCACATCAGATGCGGCGAGCCGAAGAGAGGCCTTGCTGCTATGCCGAATCCCGCACGAATACGAGAGAGACGCTTTTTTTCCCCCTCCTATCTGCTCTATTTTCTTAAAACCTGTCGCAGCTCGGCAGGAGACTCAACAGAGCCGTAAAAAGGGTCACCAGGGCGGACTTTTTTTTCCTGAGAAGTCGCACGCTGAACGATCTCTATCTTGGGATGATCCACCCCCTCTCAAGCTTTAAGAAAATCGCCACCGAATACGTCCCCAGGCTGCGTGTGAATGACATTTTGAGGAGAGGAAAGGAAGGGGAAGAGGACCAAACTATGACAAACGAGCTAGCTCAGCACCTTTACGGATAAAAACTGGCCCTTTCTGGAACTAAACGAATAAAAGCTTTTCCTTTTGCTATACATAATGGCGGGCCGGATGGAATCAATTGCCCACCCCTGGGCTAGACGATGGTCAAAGGAAGAGAGCGTTCGTGCAATCCATTTTTGGCCTCAGACATCGGTAAAAAAAAAGAGTGAAATTCCATTAAAAGTGAAATTAGCTGTCGTTCAGTTAGGCTTAGAGAGCTTGCTCCGTTCTCGTCCCCCAGTGTTGCCGGATGCCGCGCCGTAATTACGCCAGATCCGAGACTGCTTCAACCTTCGTATCGGCGTCTGGATCTCCTGGTATGAGACATATTTCTGCTGAATTCATGAGTTGAGCGGAGAATGAGACGGTGGTTAGCGACGACTCATCGATGCGGTGGGATGAGGTGGGATGAGGAAATATCTCATCCAGACATCCCTGAATCGACAGGATGGCGCGCGCCTGCGATTTCCTGCTTCCTGGCGGGATTCGAAACTCAGACCTGTTCGCGATGGTTCGAGGAACTCCTGGGGCCCGTTCCTCGCCTCTGCTATATTTGAATCTAAATCTAAATCTACGAGCCGTCTCGAAGACCACGGATTCACCCTTATAGGCCTAATTGGCCCCTAATTGTTACGTCGATAATTGAGATTCTTTAGAAAGAAAAAAAGTAAGTTTGGGCGCGACCTAAAGACAGACTGCCGGATAGGCCTAAGCCTAACGTTAGTGAGACCAGTCGAGAAAGGTTGGGGAGGGGTGGTAGAAAAAGAGGGAAAGCCATTCAAAATTGCTTTTCACATGACTTCAATCATTGACACAACGAGCTCCTTCCCCCCCCCCCCCCCCATTTGGAAATCCCTCTCGTGGCCTCGTCAGCTAGCCATTCGCTCGCCGATTCAATGCGGTCGGCCTCTGCTAACAGATGCCATAAAATATAATAATGACACGAAGCAAGCGACGCACGAAACCGTGAAACACGGACGCGTTCGGAAGCCGTCACGAACTTTCTCCTTTGCGGGCCGGTCCGCGAAAACGACGACCCGACGAACCGATTCCACGGACGGAACCCTGCATCTGGGTCCAGGCCGAGAGCGAGATTCCCCGGGACGGATCGATGCACTCGTTGCACTCGAACGGAACCCCCGGATTGGGTGCACGGCAAGAGCGATCGCACAAACCGGGATCCGAACGCGAGTCCGCTCATCACAGGGACACAGACACGTGCTAGCGAGGGAAAGGCGGAAAAGGGAACTCCGTCTACGATCGTGCGACGGGCAGGTGAATAGAAAGGGTCGCACCGGCGCAATCTTTCCCTCGGATGACGAAACCCGGCGGCGGCTAGAACCGATGAACTCCTGCACGGGTCGAATTTTTGTGAACACGGCCCTCGACCCGAAACCCGAACCGAGCCGAACTTCACGGTCGGACCGGATCCGACCCGACCCGAGAAAAAGAAAAAAGAAATCGTAGGTTGTCTCTGGCTCCATTCCGCTAGCCTTCGTTTACTTTTGCGGTTTCGTATCGAATGATTCTCCTTCGCGTCGACGAGATGCATCGACGCATTTCGATCCGGACGCAGGATATCCTTCGTGCCGGCCCGGAGGCAAGGCTTAAAAAAGGGAAAAATTCGGCCCGATCCGACCCCACCCAAGGAGGGAATTTCGGCCGGAAACACCTCTCGGATCGGGTCGGGCTGAGCCGATCGGACCGAGCCTTAGCCCGTGCAGGACCCTAATCGGGGAAAGGAGCGCATGACTCGGCATGGCCCCTCCCGCCCCGTCCCGCGGAGCATCGGGACCCGCTCCCGCATACCGCGCCTGCGACGACCCTGGCCCTCTCTCCCCTCTCCTTTCCTCCCGTCCAAGAACCAAGAATGATCCATTTCGACTACGAATGAAGCTCGTCGCACGAACCGAAGCCAAGATCGGGGGACTCCACACGAGGATTCGCTTCGTCGAACGACGCGGAGGTAAGCTTCCTCTGATGCTTCGTATGCCGACGCATGCCGATGCCAGACGCAAACGAAACAGGGGAATAGAGAAGACTCCTTTGTGTCGAGAAATTCAGCCGTGAACTTTCTCGAAATTCCAGTAAGAGAAGTCGATCGATATGCTTTTCCTTTAAAGAGGGGGCTTTGTGCACTTCGGCCGAAGAAAAACGAGAAATGGTTATTGCTACAAGACCAAAAATCATTCATCCACATCTCGCGTTATTCGTTATAGCTATTAGACCATTCCGCCGCGAATCATCTACAGGGATATTTGCTAAATCCAGCCACAATTACTTATATTTTCCTTTCACGGTTGCCGCTCGGTGAGAATATCTGCGTGGAACCTTCGCTTCGCTGCAAACATCTCGCAACCCAAGGGTACGGGAATTCCGATGTTAAAAAAAAAATGTGACCCACTTGAACTGGAATCGCTTGAACCCGTTTTATTGACGCTTTAGGTCCCCGGGAAACGCGACGCGAATGAGAATCGACGACGAGTCGCATTCTTCATGGCTACCCATTGTCTCCGTATTTAGAAAAAGAAAAACAGGCAGCCTCGATCGTGCACGTTCACCTCAAGGTTTCGGGAAAACGCTCCTTCTTCGGAATATCTGAACCACATATGAACTACTATCAGCATTTGTTTCTTTTGAAATCCATGCCCACCTTATTAGTTGTAATAGTTTCCGATTCCCCCCCGCCCCCCTCCCCCCCTTCCCTTTCCATCATTACGAGATTTACTTGTGTTAGACCTCGACCTAACCCACAGACTATCTTCAAGTCAGGCTTAGGCCTACATTTTTTATACCGAAGAATCTTCACCCTCGACTCATCGAGCCGATTCGGCCCATGAGGGCGAATCTCGGGTCGCTCGAGACTCGGAGCACTCGCCGAGGATGAGTAACGTCAGGATGAGTAACGTCAGGCCGATCGTGGGCCTCTTCCGCATTCCATCAACCGTTTCGGAGCGAACGCGTCACGTTATTCCCATCCGGAGCAACTCCAACCGCCTCGACGAGGCCTGCGGAGAGACTGCCTCCGAAATCGAAACGAGGGTCGGACGCCATCTTCTTCATACAGGGATGCCCGTGCACGGTGCCACCGCATCGATCGGCCTGTGTTAACCACCGTTTCGATCTCAGATCGGCATATGAACTCGGCACGAAAACGTCTCGTACGTTAAAAAACAGACGATCCAGACGCCGATGCGAAGGCGGAAGCAATCGTGAATCCGACGTGACTCTGACACGATATTCGGCAACACTGGGGGATGGTTCTCCGGCCCTCACGCTGAGCCTAAATGAAAGACATCTGATTTCAT